CGGTGTGCACGCGAGGGGTCGAGGGGTCACGGGCACCACGTCTCCCCGTCGAGGCCACAGTGCTCGTCCCCGTGGCGCGTATGGGGACAGCGCCGTCCGTGAGCACCCACATCGGGGTCGCGCATTCCCCTGGGGAAGGCGTGGCTTCCGGCGTGATGAGGGGAGTGGGGGAGGGGCGGCCCGTTCACTCTACAGCCAGCACCCTAGAAATCGCCCAAACGCCACTTCCCAGGGTGGTGGTTGAAGAAATAGAGAGGACGGCTACTCTGAGACAGAAGGACAGACAGAAGGACAGACAACTTGATGGAAGCACAGAGCTGACCCCGAGTCCTGGCCCCACAGGAAGTGCCGGTCCACCCGGGGAGTGGGGGAGGGGCGGCCCGTTCACTCTACAGCCAGCACCCTAGAAATCGCCCAAACGCAGCTTCCCAGGGTGGTGGTTGAAGAAATAGAGAGGACGGCTACTCTGAGACAGAAGGACAGACAGAAGGACAGACAACTTGATGGAAGCACAGAGCTGACCCCGAGTCCTGGCCCCACAGGAATTGCGGGTCTACCCGGGACTAGCCGCCTAAGGGGCGGGGACAAGGACAGAATACTTACAGGTGCGCCTGGTTCTCCGCTAGGTCTTTGGTTTTCTCCTACAATTACAAAGGAAAAAAAAACATACATGAGAAAAACAAGATCATGGGATACATTCAGTGACGCCACCACCAAATGGCGCAACGCCATCCCTATAAAAACGCAGCAGGGCTGTCCCAGACCAGCTGTGCCCTGCCGACGAGTTCCTCTGAGTTACACTGGGAAGAACACACGTCCCTGTGACGGGACATCTCCCCACCGCGCTGCCGAATGGGACCTACGTGTTTCCCACAACAGAAGCATTTCAGGGCCATCTGCTGACGTAGCAACTGCCATGGAGAAAAAGACAGGCTGGGTGTTCTGTGAACACCAGAATGAAGACGCCACCGACACCCTGGTTGTGAGGCTTCGCATCTGCCACACGGTCAAGCGTCGGCAGTGATGGCAAGCAGATGGGTACGTGCCGAGCATCCACACGCGCATTTAAACAGGCCGCGGGGACATGGGCCCGGACCACGTCGCCAGGGAGGGTGCTGGCATGCAGCGGGTGGAGGCCGGGGTGCTGCTCAGCGGCCTGCAGCACACAGGGTGGCCCCACGGCCAGGGTTCCACCCGCGTGTGCTTGGAGCCACTGTCTGGGGACCCAGTCGGGGAGGGGAGCTTCTCTGTGAACAAAAGCCGACCGGCCCTGCGCCCCCACCACTGAGTTGACAAGGGCTCTGCAGTGGGGTGGCTGTCGGCAGGGGCTCAACCTGCTCCCCTCAGGAAGCATGGGATGCCCAGGCTGAATGGGGGCTCGGGGCTCCAAGTGGCTTGTTCCCAGGCACGTGGCTGAGCCTCGGGGAGGACGCAGACCACAGCTTATGAGCCAAGGCCGCATGCCCCAGGCTGGGCAGGTTGGACAGGCAGAGAAGGCTGACCCGGCCACAGGAGGCCTCGGCCCTCCACCCCGCAGCCAGCACCTCCCCCAGCCCCGGCACGGGCCAGCTCCGCCCTGGGACTGACCCGCACTCTCTCGCGGATCATCTTGGCAATCTTGAGCAGGAGCTGCCCGAAGGAGCCTGGCTGGAGGCGGGTGGCCGAGTGCTGGATGCAGAGGCAGAGGAGGAAGGCGGGGGTCAGCGTGTGGTCGTCGCCGGCCGGTTCGACCAGCGTCAGGATGCGCTGCAGCAGCGCGTCCTCCATGTCGGGCTCAAACTCCAGGTGCGGCGGCCCGGGCAGGGGCAGGCCGGCCGGCGGGGGGGCCGAGGTGCCGGGGGCCTGCAGCAGGGCCCCGCACATCCTGCAGCTCTGTGGTGCCGCCCGGAGGCGGGCCAGGGCCTGGGTGGGCAGTGGCCGGGCCTGCGCGGGGTCCTTGAACAGCAGCAGGTAGTAGAGGCCCAGGGACAGCAGGTCGCCATGGCACAGCACCACGGTCCGGCCCCCCACCTCCGAGAAGTTGACCGCCACGGGCGCCCCAGGGATGGGCTCCAGGACCAGCCGGCCCGCTGCTTGCTCTCGGCCCGCGGGCTGGTGCCGGCGGAGGGTGCAGTGCAGGGGCAGGATGTCGGGGGCCGAGAGGCTGATGCTGGGCTTGCTGGAGGGCGTCCTCTGGCCCACTGTGTGCCGCTCCCGGTTGAGCACGTACACCAGGCTGTCCTGAAACGCAGACACCGGACCTCAGGGACAGGACACAGCCGGGCACAAGGCAGTGTCCCTGTCCATGGTACCTAGCGAGTGGCAGGGCCGCTGTCTGCAGCTCTCACTGTCCCGGGCCACCCCCTTCCTAACTGGCCGCTTGCCCCCAGCCTGCTCCACACTGAGCGTCCACTCTGTCCTGGGGGGAGCTTTCCCAGAGCAGCCTCGGTGGCCCCCAGAGAACAAGGACTCCAGCTTTGAGGGACGAGGGCCCAGACGAGGGCCGACCCAGATGCGGACAGGCTGAGCTCCCCAGGTGACCCCAACAAGCGTGGGAGGCGCCCCCTTTGCAGCTCCAGTTCGGCCAGGGAAGGTGCCTCCTCGCACCCAGGCACCATCAGCCCAGCGTCACAAAGTGTGCGTGGAAGGCGGAGTGGGCGGGGCTCGGTGAGGGCAGGAGGGGACATGAGAGCAGAGGGAGAGGGACGTCTCTGGGGCAGCCATGGTGTGCCGTCGCTAAGGGCCAGACCCTTCCAGCCAAGACACTTCCAACCGGAGTGGTGACAAGGGCTGGCTCTGGGGGCCGGGGACAGGCGGCTTCTCTGGGCCCCTCGAAACAGCCCTGCAGCACGTCGAGGCTGCTCAGCCCACGCACCGGGCTGCTGAGCCTCTCGCCAGGCACTAGCCACATCTGGAGGAGACCGCAGGCCTGTGTCCTGGCCACCTGCCCGTGCCCTCCCCAAAGCCAGGGTAGCAGGTGGCCTGAGACAGCCTGGAAGGCGGCAGACATTCCTGTGACGGCACCTGGCATCACGCTGGGGTCAGTAAGGGAGGAGCTGGGCATCCCCTCGCAGGGCCCCCTCCCTAGCCTGGACAGAGAATGCTCTGGAAGCAGAGGACAGGTGACGGGGGAGCCCCCGCCCTTCCCCAGCGTTTAGAACAGGCCTGGCCTGGCCCCTGCCTGCCCCGTTTCCACAGCCCCATCATCGGCGGAGCGACTGCGGCCACATGGGCCCAGGGCTCACGTGCTGCTGGCTGTAGCCCTGCAGGAGGAGCAGGTGCGGTGACTCGTAGAGGGAGTAGCGCATGGTGTCCTGGCCGGGCTCCTCGGGGCCCTGGGTGGCGGCGGGGCTCAGGCTGGTCTCGCTGACCGTGCGGCGCAGCCGGGGTGGTGGGGGGCTATGGGAGGCCCCCAAGGCCAGGGCTGGGGTCCCCTTGGCGCGGCTCCGCTGCAGCCTCCGGGCTTGGGCGTTTATCCCTGGAACAGAAGCCGAGCAGGGCAAGCGGTCAGAGCCACCTCCAGGCCCCTCTGGATCCCGAGCTCGGGAACCACCTCTGACCCTGGCCGCTGGGCTGCGGGCCTGTCTGGAGGCCGCGGGACTCTGCCCGCTGACCACGCCCTCCCACCAGAGAGCCGGGCAGCCCAGCCGGCCGGCCGTGTCCTGAGGCGCGTGCAGGAGCTCCACACACACCCAGCCCGCCCTGACCAGCCACCCCACGGCACCCCCTCAGAGCACCAAACCCACTGCAGCACCAGCTCCTGTCGGGCCCCATGGGGGTCCCGTGTGGCACCACACCGCCCCAAGCCCTGCCTATCACCCTGTCCCATCCCGTCCCGCCAGTCCCCCTATGCCTGCATGTGTGTGCTGATCGCTGAGGTGGGAACCACTCATCATCCCCCCCCCCCATTTTATAAGGAGGAAACGGTCAACTTGCCCACGGCACCCAGCCAGCTGAGCCAGCTGGTCGCCTAGGACAGCACGGCTGCTCCATCCCCAGGCTACTCCAACACCACCAGGTCAGAGCACGCGCACATATGCACACACGCGTGCACACACAAACCCATGCACACGCGTGCACACGCATGCACATACGTGTGGACACAAACGCACCCCACGAAGAACAGTCTTGTACATCCAGGAAGCGCCCTTTTTAAATGAACACCGCCAGAGACCAGAGAGGCAGCACGGAGCCCACGCACGCCAGCCCCCGAAACCTGTTCCTGCCGACCCCAGCGCCTTCTTCCTGAGCCCCCCCATCCGGCCTCATCTGCAGCGTCCCTTCCTACAGCCACTCCAGACAAAGCCAGACAAAGCCAGAGGAAGTGCAGCGGGCGAGCTGGGGCCAAAGGCGCTGCCTTACCGAGAGAGCGCGGCCAGCGAGCAGCAGCCGACTCAGAAGGAAGCCCGCTCCTCTGCAGCCCACAGGGGGCCGGCTGCAGGAGGAGGCTGCCGCACCGCGGAGCGGTGTGCGTGCCACTGCTCCCTGCCCACTGCAGAGCCCGGCCAGCCACGGGAGGAGGGGGGCACCAGGTCATTATAATGTGTGTCCAAGGTCACCAACCACTGAATTTGGCCAGCCGCCTAATGTGGCCTCCCTCCACTGGCCTACAAGATCAGCCACACCCGCCAGCTCCTTGCACAACATCCCTCTCCTCTGGCACTTCGCTCATCTCCCTGGTCCTAACTCTGGCTGCACTCTAGGCTTCAGCATCTGGGATCTGGTCTCCCTTGTGACCATCATCGTGGCAAAAAAATTTCTCCTAAAAATGCCCTCGAGTGTAACTATTCTAAGTTACTCCTTCACAGGCAATGACAATGACTATCTGTAATGCATTCAGTCATTCTCATGTAATTTGAGAAACACCAAGCTATGTTCAGTGGTACTTGACTGCCTGGCTGGACCCTTCCTCTGTGAGTGGGGCAGGGGGAGCAGGGGGCAGGTGGCAAGCTGGGGGACAGGGCATAGGGGGCAGGAGGGCGGGGGGTCAGGCCCTCTCCCATCTCCAGCCTCTTAAGAATGGCAGACCCCGGGGCTTGTGGCATCAGTGCACAAACTTGGGGCCCCACCTGAAAGAAGAAAGTTTTAAAAGCCAGTCCTAAGTGGCGTTCCAGCACCCAAGTGTTTCCTCCATCTGGGAAGCGCTACAGGAGGGGCTGCGCCTCGGATCCACCTTCCGGAGATCCTGAGGCTCCTGGGCCACTGCAGAACCTGGGATGGTCCCCTTTCCTCTCAGATTCCCAGGGGCCCAGAGGCCAGACAAGGCTGGAGAGACTAAAGCCGGCCGGTGTCCCCTGGAGCTGCAGCCCCACGTGGGAGCCCACAGCACTGGACCCCACTCCTCCAGCCGGAATCCCGCACCCCCACGGAGGACCCCTCCAGGGGCCCAGGGCCCAGTCCTCTAGGTCAAGGGTCCCCAGCCCCTGGACCGTGGACAGGTATCGTCCCATGGCCTGTTAGGAATGGGGCCGCACAGCAGGAGGTGAGCGGCTGGTGAGTGAGCGAAGCTTCATCTGTATCTGCAGCCGCTCCCAGCGCCAGCATCGCCACCTCAGCTCCACCTCAGGTCCTCAGGCATTTGATGCTCATAGAAGCCCCGGTCCCTGGTGCTGGTGCCACAGAGGCTGGGGACCGCTGCTCTGAGCTGCTGTCTGAAGCAGTGCTTCTCCCCGCTGCCGTGCGCAGAGCCACCTTGGTCTGGCTCCCCGGTCTCCTTAATGGGTCCGTGCAGTGTTGAAGGGCCAGGCCTGGGGGGCTGTGGCTCAGGGCTGCCCGGGGGAAGGCGGCAGCAGCTCACGTCCACAGCCGCTGGACCTCCAGCGCCAGCACCGCCAGCGTGCACAGCCATCTGCGCCGTGAGCCAACACGAGCCCACGCACACCGTAGGCTGCACGGCCAGGCGGACCCTCACACATGCACGCACACCTGCGTAAGGCGGCCTGCGAGAGGCCACATGACCCTCCATGGGGGCCATTCACTCACGGGATGAAGCCCTGCAGAGGGAAAAGCCGGGTGTGTCCCCAGCGGTGGGTGCACAGGCCAGCTGGGCAGGCGCAGAAGTGGCACAGAAGACACCACTGTGCAGGGCTCATGGTCTGTTGTCTGTGCACGTCAGGCTGGTTTGTAAGGGGGCAGACAGGTGCGCAGCGGATCCGAGGGGTGGCTCTCCGTCCCACAGGCGGCAGGGCGTGCCTCTCGGTGTATACAGTGCACTGTGGCCGGCTGAGTCCGTGTGACGTCATATCCCGCACATAACAGGGTGTGTTTTATATGTAACTTTATTTATATAATGTTTCACTTATTTTGTTTTTTAAAAACTCTAAATATGATCAAAGTTTATGTCAACCCAGCTGTCAGTTACATCATTCTTTATACTTTTATTTTAAAAACCTTTTCTTAAAGTAAAAAGCATGAACATTTTGAAGGCCTCTCCCCTGCGTATGAACACGTGGTGTCCTGGCAGCAGGTGGGAGGCCTGAGTGTGGGCCCCGCCTGCTAGCGCGGGAGAGGAAGCCCAGCACCGCGTCCCCAGCGAGTCACCTGAGGGCCTGTGTCTTCCAGGGTGCTCGTGACGACAGCCTCAGTCCCCCACAGTCCCCCTGCTGGCCTCTGATGTGATTTCAGTAGGAGAGGGACAGGAGTGAAGAGCTGTAAACCAAGGAGCCCACCCCGGACGACTTCGCGAGTTCTCGGCCTCTCCAGATGACGAAAGACGCCAAGTCAGACGCGGCTGCCGAAAGTGACACAGATGGAAAAGGCTGAGTGTCCTGTTCAACCCCTTCCTGAAACCCCAGGAAGGTTGAAAGGCCATGTGCCCGGCCACAAAAGACCCTGTCCAGAGACGAAGCGTGTCCTTGTAGGTTTTCCTAAACAATCCAGAGAGGCCCAGCAGAAGCTGGAAAGCAGCGCCCCGCAGAGGCCCAGCGGAAGCCAGGGCACAGCGGGGCTGTCTCGGACACCTCTGTGGAGGTGGCCCTGTCCCACGGAGGCATGCCCCTGAATCCACGTACGGTCACAAGGTTCTGGAGAAAATCGGATCAGCAGAAACGGTGCCAGCTGAGACAGGAAGGTCTGACCGAGTACAAGATGACAGGCCCTCTCAACAGGAAGCAGCTGAGAGAGCTTCACCTGCAGACACCTGGGGCCTACAGCCGAGGAAGGAGGCTGAGGCCGCCGGTGCCGCCGGGAGGGTGCTCCCAGGGCCTGGAACTTGACCCAGGAGCTCCGGCTGGGTGCGCCAGCTGCAGTTCGAAGCAGCCTTGTGCCAGTGACTCGTCGCTGTCCATTTCCCCTTCCGCCCAGAAGGCCTGTGACCGCTGTCTGTGCCTGCCCGCCGCTGCGTGCTGGGGGCTGGGCAGAAGCCTTGTCCCCGGGGCCACGGGTCTGCAGGTGGACAGGACCGCGCCCCTGCACCTAACGGATTACACCCAGGGGCCCTCCACACCTACCTCAGATCATTTAGCCGACGTGATTTTGGACTCAAACTGATGCTGGAATGTGGTGCGGCTCTGGGAACCTGGAGGTGGGTGAGCGCATTTTGCGTGTGGGTGCAGAGGTGCTCCCTGGGCCGAGGCGACGGTGGTAGCCGGAACACTAAGACGACCCCTGTCACCTCCCGGGGTGTGGCGGGCCCTGTGAGTGTGTGAGCCACCACTGTGATCACGTGCTATAATGCGGACAGAGGATTTTGCAGGTGGGATTAATTTCACTCATCAGTTCACTTCGGGTTCATGGTTTCCCGGTGGGCTCACCTGAACACGGAGCCTTTAAAAGCAGAGATTCACAGCACAAGGAGAGGGTGATGCCACACTGCCGCCTGAAGGTGCAGGGACAGCCACGGGGACAGGAACCTGAGTCCTGTGACCACGGGACTGAGTTCCACCCACAGTAAGAGGGAGCTTGGAGCTGGATCCTTCCCGGTGCCCCCTGACGACCTCGGCCTGGCTGACATCTTGGTTTCAGCCTCATGAGACCCTGAGACCCCGGCCGCACCACGCCGGACTTCTGACCCTCGGATCCATGAGCTCAGAGGTGAGTGTGGTTTCAAGGTGCTGCTTCTGTGCTAACTCGTCATGTCACTGGAGACGTGACACAGGCGCGTGTTCGCTGGTCATCACCGTCTCAGGAGGACCTGGCACGGGTGAGCGGCGACCGGGAGCCGCAGAATCAGAGTCCGTAGATCAGAGTCCGTAGATCAGAGTCCGTAGATCAGAGTCCGTGTCGTAAGAGCTCGTGTGTGTGAGTTAAGCATCAGCGTTTGTTTGCGTGGAGAGGTGTCCGTCCCTGAATCCAGCGGTGGAGTCAGGACCAGTCAGTTGACTCTGGACACGGTAAACGCCCCCATGAAAACGACGGCACAGACGACAGAGAGGGAACTGCCCGGCCGAAGTTGAGACACGGTAAGACCCCGGAGGCAGCGGTACTTCGAGCACTTTTGCCCTGAAAATGTTTGCCAGTCGCAGGGGAAAATAGCGGCGT